TCGGTCGGAATTGTCAGATTTCTCGCCGGTCACTGATCGCCCCACTCCCTGGGTTGACCCTTTGGATCCACCCTCTCGCTCAGAAGTCGAACGTGAGATCGCACTGCCGAAGTTAAATAAAGCCGTGGGACCAGATGATCTACCTCCAGCCCTCTTCAAATTCGTGGGATCTCTCTTTTGGATGATTTATACGAGTTACTAGCGAAACTGTGGGAGCAGGAAGCTGTTCCAAACGACTGGAGCCGCCCCGTCATAGTCCCAAGTTTCAAGGGAGACTCAAGATCGGAATGCGGCAACCATATAGGAATCAGTCTGATTCCCATCGCCTCCAAAGTATTTGTCTCTGTCGTCCTTCATAGACTGATTGACACTTGTGAAAGCCATATTCGTGAAGAGCAAGCCGGGTTTCGCCGAGGTCGTGGCTGCATTGAGCACATCTTCACTTTGCGTCAGTTGTTGGAGCACCGTCACACATATTGGTGGCCCACTGTTGTCGTGTCCCTCGATATCAAAGGTGCATTCGATTCGATGGATAAACGTGCACTTTGGGACTGTCTACTCAGGAAAGGTGTACCTGTGAAACATGGAAATATTATCCGAACATTATACGTGCGTAGCTCAGGCAGAGTGAGGGCTTACGGCAAGCTGTCGTCGCCCTTTAATATTTCCAGTGGTGTGAGACAAGAATGCCCGCTGTCACCTTTCCTCTTCAAGTTCGCTATTGATGAAATCATGGAAATCGCGTTCACAGCACACGACTTAGAAGGTCTGAATCTGCTCCCAGGAGAACGACTTCTTTACTTAGAGTGTGCTGACGATATGGCCTAATCTGTGACAGCTGCCAGAAGTGCCAAGCAGCATTGGACAGATAAGCACTGGCTGTCAGCCGCTGCGGGCTTCGCTTTGCACTATCAAAGTGCAAAGCGTTCTTCCAAGATTGGTCTGGACCGCCTCCTTCGCCTACCCTTGGTGGAGATCAGCTAGAAGTCGTTCGGAAATTCAACTACCTGGGAAGTTGTATCAGCTTCCGTGGGATTGAAGATGAGGTCACGAACCGTACAGCAAAATCTCGAGGCTCTTTTGCTAACCCTCGCCACTTATGGCATCCGTGCGACGTCACTCACGCCCTGAAGGGTAGAGTGTACAATGCAGCGGTACCTTCGACCTTTCTGTACGGTTGCGAAACCTGGCCCCTTAGATCCGCGGACATAAAGTGGCGAGTTACGTTCGACCATCGGTGCCTTCGCAATTTAGCTCACATCTGGTGGGAACACGGCCTGACTAGCGACCATTTTCGACTCCTTGTCTATGGCACAGGAAATGGAAATGAACCGCTCAGCACGGTTATTTCACGCACTAGGCTCCGATGGCTCGGCCACGTGTTACGCATGCCAGCCCACCGACTCCCACGATGTGCGTTGTTTGCGCGCCGGGGGTGTGGATGGAAGAAGAGGAGGGGTGGCCAAGCGATGACTTGGTCGAGAGGAATGAAGGCCCTCACTTCGAAGCTGACCTCAGTTGGAGCGTCTCGGCTCCCTGGTTGGGGTCCGAAAGACGATGAACACGTTTGGCTAGATACACTTGTTGATATGGCTAGGAGCCGACCTCAGTGGCGTTCGAGCTGTGAGTCTCTTTGGCCCACCCCATCCCTATTAGCTTCCCCCTCCAACCACGATCGCATTTTTTAACATTTTATAATTTTGCATAATAAATTATTTTTTCTGCTACATAGTAGCCGGCAGGTAGCTTACCGGAACGATGCCCATCCGTTACCGGTAGCTCAGCTGGCTTGTACCTGTTGCACTTTATTCCCTTTCTTCTTTTATGTATTGCGGCACAGTAGCTGAGGTGTTTCCCACCTCTACTTAACGTGTATAGGGTGTGGGTGTGTGCACACAACAAGCGTTTCGAAAGGAACCCCGATGAGCCATTAACCATCCCTAGAAATCTGTCCTGTCGCCTGGTTGGATAGAAGTAACGGATTTGCTGGCAGTTTCTACATTTAGTTCATAAGTTGCAGTTGTGTAATTGACCTACCTGACAAGCGCAAACAAGTACAATTTTTGTAAGAAACGACATCTATGAGTTATCCACCTATAGTTAAACAGGAGGATAGCTCCACAGGTCATACAACGGCTGCTTGGACACAGGTAGTTGCAACTGCAGCCAAGACCGTCCCATTTCAAAATTGAAGTCGATAACTCACACTTTCCCAACAAGTGACTCAACAAGTATCTTATACGGATGCCCAAAGCGTTGTGTTTACGGTATACTTACTAAACATGGTGACATTTGGATATTGGGATATTGTCCTGGATAACCAGAACTGACATTTGCGCCACCTGCAAAAATTTCAGCCTGCCATCTAATTGCCAGACCCTATTTATCTCCCGATTCGTTGCCGCCCACGGTTTCTGCCAAAATCCAGCTCTTACACCCAAATACTTTCTGCTGTTCCTCCTATCCTATCTACCCATCCATCTACGTAACTTGTCCAAGTTGGTACGTCTGCGTGCGGTATGTTCATTATCGCGTTTTCACACACCCGCCCTGAAGACACATTGCCCCCCCTGAGGTCAACTGTGAGCCAAATGCATTGCACCAATTTGTGCTGTGTAGTGAAATCGTCGTTGCGTAGCGTTTTGTGACCAAGTATAAGCGCCTGTGTAATTCCGCTAGCGGACTCTGGGTTTCATGATCGGTCTGTACAGTCGCAAGTACGATGATTTGCACCTTCATGCGTATCTTGTGCAGACTCAATTGTTTCCTTACTGGGCGGATATTGTTGAGATATGTCCCTATCGCTTTTTGGTATTCATTTGAAAAGTACCGTAGTTCGCGGCTTCGTTTTGATTTGACCCTGGAGTTCTACGTGTTGTTTAAGTCCCAAGTGAATTTATTGCTTGCAGTGGTGTAGTCATTTAGCCTCTGAACACTGCACGACCACTGTGGTGGTGACGGCTGATACCACCGGTAAAGTGTAAAAATGCAAATAAGGAAGAGAAAAGCTAATAAAGCTTAGTCCCATTTTCTTCTGTGAGTGAATGCGTTGACGATAACTGCTTGGTTTAGATGAGGAGTTTCGGAACTTGGTCGGTGTGGCGTGGACTAGTACAGCAGTGATTCAAACAAAGAAGGAGTTAGCTGGTTCGAATAGCAGCGAACGAGGAGTAAAAGTGAGTGAATAGAAAATTACACTGATGGCAGAGTGCAAGAAAGAGCCAATGTAAACGGGCGGCAATTCCACAATGACTTGAAATAATGTACTGTAACGACTAACCATATTTTTCCTGAATGACTGGTTCCCATCGATACTCAGAAGTTGTGCTGATGCTCGATGTGCCTCAGCACGAAAGCGCGGTTACGTACAGGAACTGCATGTAGTTTACCGTTTAGCGTGCATCAAACTATTAAGATGCAATACTTTGTTAGATGTTTTATTATTTGCGAGACGCACGAGTCCAAGTCTAATATTACCAGTGAGGCAAACCTCTGTAATTTCGATTACTGGGATAGTACCCGAAGTATTCTGATATCCGTGTGCAGCGATAAAGACGAGGAGGAACTTGAAAATTCCCATTTAGAGTCAAAAGAACACGAGACCATAGGTGAACAATTGTTTTCAATGATTCTCTTCAGACCAGTACAATCATATTTAAGGGTAAAATAATGAACTATGTAACTTGACCTAATGAGTCGATTTCAGTTCATTATTTTACCCTTAAATATGATTGTACTGGTCTGAAGAGAATCGTCGAAAACAATTGTTCATCTATGGTCTCGTGTTCTTTTGACACGGAGGAACCTTGTAAAATCTGGTTCTGGGAGCGAGCAACATGAAAGAGATTGCCAATTTGCATGCGGTCTCTGGTTGTACAAACCACTAATGGTGACGTCCTCCGTGTGCCGATTGGGTAATCGGCACAACGAACACTCCGAAACCCAACCGTGAACTCGTAAGCGTTGTGCCAATTGATGTTGAAGGAACCACCTAGGCTTGTAACCAAGGCGTCTACCGATAATATGTACGTCTCAAGTGACGGCCACTGCTCTAGCTACCTCTCTGTTTAATTGAGCATAAAATGCTTCATGAAGTATAGTGTTGGGAGAGAGAAACAGCACAAATTCTAGCTGGATTAGCTTCCCTTCCATAGCGGTGGTCGGATTTCAAGTCAGGTGGAAATGAGAGCAAAGTCAGGTGATGAGTTTGTAACTTGAAAATTCCCATTTACGTCTCTAGAACAAAAGACCATCTGGTGAGCAAATGCTTTCAATGATTGTAATGGTCTAACGATGAATCATTGAAAGCATTTGCTCACCAGATGGTCTGATGAGTTTGTACAAAACTTTCCATTCACAGACTTCATAACGGTAAGAATGAACATTTCGACAGGACAATCCGAATTCAGCCATTTCCTCAGTTTTTGTCAGCTGTTTACCTACGTAGTGAGGAATGGTTACATGCAACAGTGGCATTACGCTTTGATTGTCAGGGTTGTTTGTTTCCTTGGATAGCGGGTACTGTGGCTCAAGTGCTTCGGAAAACCAATGGCGGTATAAAAAAATAAGTGACGGAGGACAGTTTCGCTGTCTTAAAGACAGCCCCATGATATCAAAATGCAGCTACATATGAGCCTCAGGATGAACAACGCAGACAACTCAATCTAAGACTTTCATCCTGAAATGGCGAAACCGGGTGCATATTGGTTTTATTTTTTGTCCGATGTCGGTCAGAGTAAACTTACATTGTTTCAGTAAGAATGTGTGGAACAGAACGGTTTATTCATCGTTCGGCCCGCCAACTGTCAGTTAACGTTACACAATCGCTCCTCAGCTACTGTCAGTATGCTGGCAAACAAGGCAGTTCTTTAAGCATGACTTGGCGCAATTCCAATGCGCATGTTCTTAGACTTACATTTCTCATGCAGCCTAAATTTGCAACACTTTACAACCACTTAAGGAATTCATCATGAGGTTAGGAAAATGGAGGTATGACGTACCGTTCCAAGGAGTCCATTGCGTTCGAGGCTCTGAAAAAGAAAAGGAAGATGGATTCTTTCCTTATTGCGATAACGGAACACAACGTGACCAAATCATGGAATCGGTCGGTAGCTCCGGTTTTCGAGAAGTTGTGAAAACACTTTGGTTACGATCAGGACAGCACTTCTCTTTCACCGTTCAACAGTACACCATCGGTGGAGCATTTTATGACAAGCCGGTGGAATACTGTCTATAATAGGGCTATGAAGAAAACGCCGGTTGATGTTGCAACTCGTAGCATCATCAGTACGGGCAGAAGATATGCTGCAGTGGTGACCATGGTATTGTTGAGGGATATTTCTTTCTCCACCATCCGACTCGGATCAGTCCGTCGAGTCTGGTCAATCTTACCTGACTAACAGTGCTTACCACAAACTTGTCAACACCACCCATCTATCGTATTTAAGCAACTACTGGTGCTGATGGATTCGCAACCACCGAAAGCAAACTCGCAGTGTTACACCAGCAAGTCACTTAATTGGTTTGATTCCATGTGTTCTGCTAAGTTAGTGTTACAACTGGACCTGGTGCTGCACTGCAGTGCTATTAGCTAGTGTGTTGGTGACTTTCGTATGACCAATGGAAGACTGCAACCATGGCTTCTTTCCCTGGACTCGATGAAGTCCTGAGTAACGCAAATTGGGCAACTTAGAACTTTAACTGGAATGTGATGTTGGAGTTACAAGAAGATGGATTTTATTAAGCAGGTTCAGAACTATACGCCAAAAAAACAAGGCTTAGAATGTAAAAGTACAGAGTTCAAGCCTCAGTATAGTATAGCGACCATACTACTAGCCTTCGTCTAGTAAAAGTCCTGCCTTGAGAATGCGCAAATCATGGGGCAAACAAATGAACGATGGGCTAGCCCATTTACCAAGTACTGTAGCTCCGTAATAAACGCTCGGTAGATGGTTTCATGCACTACACCGAGCCTCCGAGAACGGAGTATTTCAAACCCAGCTATTGTTGCAACGTAAGCAGGAAGCACACGAGCTACCTTTCAATGCCGTAAACTGAACGGAAACATAGCGAGGAAAGTCGCTGATCAGAGGTTGAAACTGTCTTTCGCGCCGGATTTACGTGCACATCATCAGAGGATGCGTAGCCCAATACATCACATGAATTAGGTGCGACAATTTGCCGTCGCCACCTACCGTTCATTAGCTTGAGTTGCTGCCTCATGAATGAATCGTTTTTACATCTAATCCTCAAGAATTGAGAGAAATGTGTGCTACTGATGCGTCCCATTAGGAAGGCACAACTGACAACTGATTCCCGGGTTATGCAGTAATAGTATTAAATCTATTTGCGATGAATCTTTCAAATAAAGGAACGTATGTATATAGCACGCTTAGTGACAGTCTCGTTCGCTTTCACTTTCAACACGGATAGGAACATCGCAGTCAGTGGAGCAGCGATCTAGACGGGTAAACCTGCCGGTAAGTTGGTACATCTATGGCAATAAGATTAGGCCGGGTAAGGTATTTTGTTAAAGCGACAGTTCAGATTAGTCTGACGTATCACACGAAGCTTGAGATCAACACTGGATTCAGGCATCAGAGTCAGCGTAACGTAGCGACAATGTTCTAAGCCTATCCAACAGCCAGTCGACCTGCCAATCAGACACCATCTCGGATAGAGGCTACTATTTCAAGCGTTCATCTCGGACACACCCACGTGACTTACCAGGGCGGTGATGTGTCCGACTCCATCGCACCGATCCGTCAACCCGGAGCAATAACAAGCCTGGCAACCTTCCGGGTTGTTGATGTCCAAATTGAAGTGACCGGGCTGGCAAACGCGGCAATGAGAATCCGGGTTCACGTTTACCTACAACAGAGGAAATATTGTCCCACATTCATTCTCGATGCGTGGGGTGACAGTAGCGCTGAGGTAGTCATACGCACCTTGCAGTTACATGGCGGTTCACACTTGTATCCCCCACCTAGGTGGCTTCCACGCACATCACACGTACACGGAACACAGCTGGTGGGGTCAGTGTCGGACCGCCGATAGCCCTCAGCGCACTGGTCACATCGTTTGCCAGCGAAACCTTCTTTGCAAATGCAGTCACCTGGATACTGAAAACACAAAAAGCAAAATGCTTCGAGAAGTGAAAAGTCTCCACAACTTGTGGTTGAGCTGGATCTGGTTACCAAAATGCGGAAAATAAGTTGGTAGCTGACTTACTCGCTCGGGAATTCCTACGTCGGTTGCCACGCATTCACCAGTCGACCCGAATGTTTCGCAGTCACATTTGACGCAGGGGAAGGGCGAATCGGGTCTCACGTTAGTCGGCCGGTAGAAGCCAGGCTTACAGCTTTCACAATTGATGCCAGTTGTGTCCTCCTGTACAAGAGGAGAAGGATGGGACCGACACCAATTACTTCAACTGTAAGTTGAAATACGGACAGTTACGGTAGTCGAATGGACATTTTGCATGGTTTAGTGAATCATCGCATGCGAAACTGGAACCCAGTTTGGATTTATTTGCCCGGTTTGAGTAGAAAGGTTGTAGAGCAGTGTGTTGCATATTAGAAGACTCCATTCACATTGAAATCGACTCCTTTCTACCATGGAAAGCAATGACGACAATGAACACTGTTTATGTGGGCAAAGTAACTAACGATTTCAGATTTTGTTTGGTAAAGGGTTCATACCCCAAGCACATGAGTCCAGGCAAACTAATCACTGGGTTCTTTTATCGGAGGTAACTCCGTCGCAGCCATCTACCCATGCTTCAAACATGTTATACGTGGGCGTGAAATAGTCATCTCACCTGATGTAGTGAGATAAGTATACTGAAAGGGGAACGCGTATTTCCATTGGCACCATATTGGTCCCCCTTTGTACATACACAATAATGTCACACGCACGCACACACACATGTACACTGAGAATCACTAAATCGGCACATGCTTTCAACGAAGATCTGCTAAGATGCACATAGATAAGCTAACAACGAACAAACTCTTCAACGACAAAGAGACGTGCTTTTAATGCCACCAAGCGATACGCTTCCAAGTGTCTCATCAACGCGAACGCAGCTATGCAGGTGGGCGCGCTTATATTCAATTTCAACTGCGTATGCCTAAGATCGTCTGTTGTGATTGGGGCAATACACTAGTGACCGACAGATGTGATACCGTCAGCACAGTTTACCAAGATGGAACTCCAAACAAAAGTTTTGTGCGCTTTCCTAGACTCTCAATGGGACACAGCAAATTGAAAAATTGAATGAGCTAGAATATATGGCAGCGTGGGGTGAAGAGGGATTGCCGTACAAACACGTCCTGCCTGAGACAGAATGCAGTGATCACGGTGTCCTTTCCTGGACTAAGTTCCTAAACAAATTGCCATGCAGCATTTGGACCGGCCGAATAAAGCGTAGCCCGGATTTATGTAATGACAATGACAATAGCCTAGTGTTGATGGTGGAGACAGGTTAACTTTCGGACACACAGCATATTATCTCACAAGACAAAATATCGGGAGTAAAGAGCCGGAAGACCAAAGGACCATTTGATCATACATTCTGCATTTCATTTCATTGCATAAAGGCTAACCGCAATCCATCTGGAGTGTTCCCGTGCAGAGCCACTTAATGCAAGCGTTGAGGTGCTGCTTGGTGAAGTCTAGTTTTGATCATGGTTATGCGGATGATATCGTGTTGCTGTTCAACGATGTTGGGGCGGCGCAATGAGACCTGAATAGCCTCGTTGAAGTAGTCCCATTATTTGGTATGGGCCTCGCACCTTCAAAGTACAAAGGGTTGCTGTTAGACCAGTAACTTGATGCCCTCTTGACCCCTGATCGCGAGGAACTCGAGGTAGTCTGACAATTCACTTACCTTAGCAGCTGCATCAGCAACGAGGGACGCGTGTGCACTGAAGTCAATCTAGGTGTTGTAATAGTTAAAACTGCCTTCTTGAAACCGCGACATCTGTGGCCACAAATAGGGGTTTCCCTCGAAGTGTAAAACCGTGTTTATACGGAAACGAACCCATGAGAAGGTGGTGTTTAAAGATCACAGGACGACTGATGCCTTCGGGGACTCCCCACCGCGATCAGGGGACAGTGTGCACTGTGTCCTAGTGAGCGTTAAATTCGAAGAGAAAATCTATCAAGGAACGCGCTACTGTGTTGTCACCACGGTGTATGTGTTTGTCATGACCGCGCACCAACACGGTTTTATTTAGATAATTGACTAGTAGGCTACGATCCTGAACTATTCGTCAGATGCGTGTGCGGTTTCGGGGTGCATATTGTACACACAGTCTTCTGGCACTGTGATAACACCAGAGTGACGTTACGCGAGTTCCACTACTCATGGGTGATATGAATGTATGGTCATATGGACTAGTAACCAATCATCGCAGCCCTTCGCATGTCCACTTCCCTAATCTTACTGGTCTACGTTAGACGCTGTGCATGCGAACGAGGCTCGGTTTGGTGCAACATACGTCATCCTCTGTTCATGTATGAGTCAGGAGCCCTGTGGGGTTTGGTATCCATGAGGAGCCGCAACAAGGAAACGGGCGCTGTCAACCATGACTATCAAGTGATGGGGGGACAGGTTGCAACAAACGTCTTAGGTGCAGTTTCTTACGTCACCACAAATGGCGGAAAAGATGAGTGACAGGTGGGATGAACACTCACTGAGGATTTACAGATGGATAAAGCGACGGCCCAAACTGGAAAACATTTCAGCCCAAAGTATACATGGAAATGACAAAGATCTAAATCGGAACTTCATCAGTTTAACTGCAGCAAGACTTACGCGACAATCCACACAGACGCCTCCGCCTTCGTAAATACCGTCCTTTCGCTGACTGAGACGTAGATTTGCAACCGTTTGATTGAAAACACAACTGTCAGCCTTGCCGTGGCAATTGCATTCTGATAAAAAGGAGCCACATTGCAAACAGTTGAGTACTGTCGTTAGTGAAACGGTGATGGCTTATAAGAACCGAAATAGTATTGTATTACCATGCAGCAGTGGCGAGTAAGGCGAGCTATTCCTGCTCCTTGCTTTATGTATTTTTCGTCCGGAAGTTTAGTGACCAATTCACTTGAGATCAACCCCACGTAGAGAGTAGTACCAAGGTGCCTTCACACATTAACCATTGTAAGGTCGATCAGGCCATCGCAGAGATCTTCCTCATTTCTGTGTGTGCATGTGTATGTGTGTAGGAGGGTGCAACCCCTCATCTACATGCACAACCTAGTGCTTCGTATGCTCTATTTGTAGGTCTCAGTCCTCGTTCACGCCTCATTTTCCACGCTGTTTGCTTAAGGATCAGATAGAACGACGTTTACCTCCAAGAGCTATTTCTTCCAAGCAGAATGAATTTCCGGGTAGTGAATATTTGTCAGGGAGTTCCAGTGCAGTAACTACCGAATGTCTGCAAAATTCAAGCACACCTCCAGCTGAACATTCAACTTTCCTGCATGATTATCTGTAACAGATTAGCGGGGATTTTACTGAGCAATTCTGTCTTGTCCCGAGCCTCTATTTTGCGAGAGTCCACTACAATTTATTGACACATCCAGTTCGGTCTACCAGCGAGAAACGATGTGTTGATTTATACCACTGTTGCATTGTTTGCCACTGTGACACAAAATATGTTTTTGTCGGTTTCGTAGCAAACAAACAATCAGCTAAGACAAATCAAGGCAAGAATGTGTTTGAAATATTCTCTAGGAAAAATAACTATCTAGTGCAATACACACGCGTTCAGCCGTGATAACGCAAAAGTGAATGAGTTACAGTGTTGGCAAACAAAAGGTTTAGGATAAAACAGGCCAAGACGCAGAGGCAGAGCAACGGGGGCAGGAAGGAGGGCGGTCCGCCTCGGGCGGCGTGTGGCAAGGGGCCGGCATTTTTGGTCCCGTTGATTGCTCGAAACCAAATCTGAAGGGCAACATTTACAGCTAAGAGGTGGGTTGAATATTTTAATGTTACTCTGTATGACCAACAAACCCTTAGCGCCATGTGTCACACCTGTGTGCAAACCTTCTCTTCCCAGCGATCCTCTTACTTGTCCCATTGTGGTTACTTGCACCACATTTGCCTCAGTGTACTAAACGATCATTAATCGCATCGAAAACTAATGTGCAATTTACACTGAGCCGATTTCGAGGGTTTACGGAATTATAACTGCTAGGAGGGCGACAATTTTACTACTTTTGCCTTGTGCGGCTAAAGTAGTTGCTACGCCACTGCCAAGGCGTTACTGTCCAAATGTTTTGGCTAGTTCTTGGAAGGTGAATTTTTAGTCTATGAAAAAACACATCGATAATGGAAGAACGATGAACCGTAGATCCTTGTGAAGTCACACGTGTTTCCGTACTTTTGTGTCCAACGAATTGGGTACACTTCGGATAAAGAGATATGGATGGGTGGACTGTCATCTGTGGGTATGTTGAATTATTTTTAGAGGAAATAATAGGAACAAAAATAATGGCTTCTACAAACTACTGTACAGAATGCCATCAGTGACCAGGAGCATCCTCTAGGATGTTTATTCAGCAAACTAGAGAGAACAGCATAACAACATAGCGAATTGGTTAGCGCTCACACGACAATAAGCTGAGAAACCACACAACGGTAGACGGAGGAGAGTAAAGCTTTGATCTGGGAATCGCGAAAGCTTCAGGAAATAATTTAACAACTAAAAATCATAACTCAGTGTAACTTCAAGGTGCCTCATTGACATGAGGTGCTCAAAACTGCACGGCCGACTTGGAGCCGAGAGCAATAGGCGGGAAGTTACACACAACGGTTTCCATTATGTAATCAGAAACGAGCATCGCTGCAATTTCTAGTGTTCAGAGACAAACAATGTGGATTTGATCAATTTATGAGTCAGTCCAGAGGAGCATTGCGAAGTGGCTCAATAAGCCATAGTTATATGTAAGCCATTTGCATACGCCAGTGAGATCGTTTCTTCAGAGTTGGGTGTTAGGTCAACGTGATTGAAGAACGGAGATTGTGTTGAAGCCGCTGTGCTAGGAATTCGGAAATTTGCCGTGAACAGTCATGGGCATATGCCCTAGATTATGCGACGTGGATGCAGTTGATGGGGTAATCAAACAGTTGGGAGATTGGAGGCAGACTTCTTGTATTGAATGGACCATTTAAGATCAGTGTGCCGTTGCCGAAGTTAATGACATCTGTCCAATCAATATTTGCACGGAGCTGAGTTTCTTACCTAGTTTTGACCGCACTGACCTACGGCACCTTGGGCGACCTGAAGGGAGAGTTCATGTTTTCACAAAGCAGACGGTGCTCATGCGTCAAACGCTTCACGTGGGAGCAACGCTGCCATTTTTTCATACCTAGGAGGTTGTAGCAACGTGGAACGGAACTCCAACTCTGGGAGCGTAGGATGCTAATATAGTGTCCCAAAGTTATCGTGATCCTTCACACAGGTCTACTGGAAATCACTGAAGGTTATATTGTGTGATTGTATCTTTTTGTATTGCGTCCCACTAGCTGAGGTGTTTCTCACCTGCAGCTCACGTGTAATGATGATGATGACATTTGACAACCTGCTTCACCGTTCATTTCCCACTGCGTGTGCGTGCTAACACCAGATCCCAGACAACGTGTGCGCTTCAATTCTGCGTCATGACCTTGCGCGTCTCGCTCTGTAATGTGACATTAGGTCTGGCTTCGTGTAATCCTCCCAATGAATCATTCTTAACCTATCCTCAGAACAAGTTAACTGATGCATGTGCACTTGACATGTGACTCCTCCCGTATCCGTTTACCGTCCGCGGGCTGAATGCAAACCTATTCCCAATTTCACCAAAAGTTGATTGTGCTGCAAGTCGTTTACCTTTCCCTTTCTGAGACATCAGCACCTGCGCTGTGCGCCAATTCGTTTCTCCAATTACATTGTGCAACATCATTTTTATAACAGAAATGTGATAAGATGTCTCTAGTCGTACCAAGTGAGCTGATTACGAATATGCAAATTAAATGTGTCAGGTCGATTTTTTAATTCCAATTTTGCATTTCAACTAACCAGTGCGTTCCATACAGCAAATGTTCGCTTGTGATTGGTTCACTGGCTCCGTGTAATCGTGTGAAATAAGTCCTCTTCTCCATGGTATACATTTGATACTGAAAATCGATTTAGAGCTGCGTTTCCTTAATTGATGTCTTGATCATGGCTCAAAGACTCAGCTGTGTCAAAGATCGGAATCAGTTTTGTTACGCCTATGGACACTTTTCTACGAAGTCGCAATGCAGACCCATTTCTTCACTACTGAATTCTGCCTACCACGCATATTTCGGGATGAAACTGGGAGATCAGGATAAGAAATGGGCGCCGCATATTGTTTTTGTATCGTGCAATCTTCAGCTGACTCAGTGGCTCAAGACTAATGTCAAGATGCCCTTTGCAATCCCCATGATGTGGTGGTAACCAAAGAATCACACGACTAGGTTGTTCATTTTACTTCGTGTCGGGTCCCAATACGCTGCGTATTTTCAACCCAATTTCATGTACCTAGTCCAACCTTCCCTTGAAAACCTCTCCAACCAGCCTTGGTCATCGCGATTCTCATGATTGCACTTGTCAACGGACGGAGTGCAGGGATATACATGGGCGTCGCACACTGTAGAAGATGCCACATATTACAAACCGGAATGTCCTAGAGGCCAACGGTATGTGAGCGATGTGACTGGCCGGGCTAAGCTGAGTTCAAATGTTGCAACTGCAATAATGATGTTGATGAAAGTAACGTTCCAGGTTAGAGTTTCTTACTTCAATCCCCCCACGTTGAGCCAGTTCAGACTGACACTCAGTCAACTTGTCCACCACTGGCTGGGCTAAACTTCGGTGAAATGTTGCAACTGAAATAAGTACAAAACTGTACACGTCGCTAATGGAGACCCTGTGTCCTGTGTGAGGTCTAGACAATTATCGGTACTCGTGTAAATGCAACAACATATTCACTATGATCCCAAGGATCAAGGTTGCGAGCTAGGGAATGCACCACATAGTGAATATGAACGGCAGTATTATTAGTTACGTATTCTAGTGTATCGAAGAGTTGATAGCGTTCCGATATTTGCCCGGCTGCAGTTTGAAAACCGCAATTGTGGAAAGTTGAGGTTTCGCAAGCTACATTTGCTGAGCTGAGGTAGATGGTAGTAATGACTCTAAAATTTCATTTGCCTGTATCTGATGTTCTGTCAGTAGCAGGTTTAACAACCTAGAATCATTTCGACAAGCGCTATACAAGTTGAACTAACGGATTCTTGCGCACCCAAGGCGTGTTGAGAGAGAAATGTGCCGTGCATAATCCGCCTGCTCGGCACTTGCACGACAGACAATGACCTTTGTCACAAATGGCACCAGGATTCAAGCGATGATCAGTTATCGTGACACTTGATCCTCCTGTCCACGGTATTGCCTCAGTGTAATACTCAGTCAACTGGATAGTTTTTTCGACGGGGGGTTCAGACACTGGGTGAGCCCCGAGAAAACATCCAGGATGACAAAGCAGGCCAGGAAAATAGATTCGAACCAGTGGCCTTGTGACTGCAAGCCAGGCGTGCAGACCACTCGGCCACCAGGCTTCCCGGTCTGTTTTCAGGCTAGCAACCAGTTTCGCCCTGAAATCTTTGCGAGTCTCCTTGTGTTCGCTATCAGCCGGAACACGCTGGCAAGCATCTATAAGTTCCTGAGACGGCGTAGTGACCCAATGTCCAGGTTGGCGATTTGATTTGCCACATTAAGACACCCGCCTCTAACAAAGTCTGTCGGATTTTCGACCAGTGATGTTCAATTGCGTTCGATGAGCGCTTATTCAGCTCGGATGTCAGTGTCTTCAAGTAGTGTATGTAAAGTGTGTCTGTACATTTTTAACACGTTTTTTTAGCA